ACTCAACCAGGCGTTTGGCCATCCGATCTGGGAACGGGCCCTGCTCTGTGGCTGTTATCCGTCACCTTTGCCAAAGTACAGGTCTTCGAGATTGCCCGACTTACAGAATTTCAACGGAATGGCATTGGAATTTCTGTACTGGGGTTCAGTACGTTTGATAGGCCTGTGTTGCCCCGTAAACTTTGATGGAGTTCTGTCGATTTTTGTGGTCCGGTCGGCAGTTCCGTTACGGGGGGCCTGTCCTCCGTGGGCTGCGGCGCAGATTCCGTAACACGTGGTTCCATTCTGGAAGGTTGTGTAGATTTTTGTAGCCGTCTATGCTGACATCAGTATGGTCCCGCTCGTTTCTGTAAAACACTTTTTCTCTCTGTGGCCCGCTCATGGATTCTGTTGAATATACGGAATTTTAATAGACCTAACCAAATTCTGTTGTGGATAGATAGAAGGGACCACCTCTACCTCTGCACCGTGTCTGTAGTCGACTAGCTTCATTGGAGCTACCCTTAACCTGCAGGATGTGGCTGAGCAGAAGAGACCCAGTCATTCATATGTTGGCTTAATCATCTTTAGAAGCTTCCTAATTAAAATACGTCTAAACATGGCGAAAGACACCGCCACAGGAAGTGCACATGCCATTCCATATTTTTAACTGAGCAATGTGCATTTAGAAAATCATTAAATGCCGTCGTCAACAACGACAACCTGGGCGCAACAAGGGCTCCACAGATTGCTAAACCATTGCACTACAAGCATTCATGGAGACCAAGCCAAGCAACCTCTCCCTTTGCACACCACCCCCACACCTTTTTGTAGCACGCAAAAGAGCCTTGCATACACTTCCTTAGGAGGAAGTGCCCTTTGCGCGATCTGTTTCCCTCGATCTGAGACAAATCTCACGACCTCTGCACCCAGTATGCACTGCAAACTCAACTTGGACGTTGCCTGCTAAATTGCTGCCTGGCGTCCAATTGGGGCTTGCGGTGTGTGCACGTCGACAGCATTATTCTTCATGGCCTTAAAAACCAAGCAACCTCTGCCTCTGGACACCATCTCCAAACCTTTCCCTTTCTCTCTTTGTAACGAGTAACAAACCTCACCACCTCCGCTCGTTTTCAAAGCATTGTGAAAGACAGCCCCGCATACCCCCCCGCCCATGAGGGGTGCCCTCTGCACGCGACCCGTCTCCTCAACAAGTCTCACCGCCCCCGTACCCAGCAGCACACACCGCCAGCCCCCATTGGACGCCGCCCATTAAACCGCCGCCAGGCCAGTTTTCGCCCGACGTGGCCCCCGCTCCCATCCGCAGGTTTGGCCGGATCAGAGCCCGGCAAGCCCTGGCGGCTGCCGGCGCCGGGCCCCCCGCTGACGTGTCCCGCTTTGCCCTGTCTTTGGACCACCACCGCAGAGGCGCGTCGCGGACGAGCACGCCGGGAGAGCGTGCGCACCCGCCTGAGGCCGGCCGGCTCCCGGGCGGGCCAGAGCGCCAAGCGCCGAGGAAGAGTCCAGCGCTGGCGCGCGCAGGCGCGCCATTCGGGTCGGCATGCAGTCCTGGAGGCTGTCGGCGGCGGCGTCGGGCAGGCCGCGCCCACCGCCCTGCGAGAAGGATTGCCCCAGGCCCGGCGACGGCCAAGGTGGGGGATTTTGACCCGATCTTGGTGCGGGGCGGGGGGGAAGGGGAGGGGTGGCTGTGTGTGGAGAGTTGGGTTTTAGTTTGGGTGATTTGGGTGGCGATGGGGGGATTTTGAGTGTGTTTTTGTGTCGGTGCGCAGTTCGGCCTGGCAAGGCGCAGCTCAATAGGGGGGCGAGATCGCAGCACGGCGCCCAGCGGAGGGTGGGCCGGTCGAGGGGGCTGGTGCGAGCGGGAGAAGCCCAGGGACAGGAGGCGGCGGGCGCGTCGGTGAGTGGGGGTGGCGGGACCCATCGGGGAATTGGGGCCGCGCGGTGCCCCTGCTTTGAGTGTTCCGGAGTGTGGCCTGGCGGAGCAGTGCGCGACTCCCGCCGCGGGTTGGGATCCGTGAAGGGCGCCGCGCTCGGCTTGGCGCGCTGTGGGCGGCCCAACGCGAGCGTTCTGCTCGATCGCTGGCTGCTGGCCCGCGACTTGGGGTGGGATTTGCGCAACCTGTGGCGCAAGCGATCGACGGTGGAAGGTCGGGGAGTGGCACCGCTGCGTTTGTTTGCCAGGCAGCGCTGCAGCGTGCCTGTGTTCGCTGCGCAGGAGGAGCTGCGGAGGGATGAGGACGAGTCTGAGTCGCGCGTTGGCGAGCTGGAGCGGGAGAACGCGATGCTGAGGGAGGTGCGATCCGTTGGGAGGGGACGCGGCTCGCCGTCCGTCACTTTTGCGCGGTGGGGGGCGTGCGCGGTGCAGGGTGCCGCAGGCCTGTCGGCCAGTGCGCGCTTTGCGCGATTGCTTGCACCCCAATGGTGTGCCTAGCTGTTGGCTTCTTACCATTGGTGCCACCCGATCCCAAGCACGCAGTGGGACATTCGTCCGTTCAGGAATGCGTCCGGCCGGTTTCAACGCCCAAAGCCGTCGCTGGCACAAAATGAACTAAAATTGGTGGGGACAGTACGAGAACAAAGGCACTCATCTTGTACTTGGTAGCTGTTTGTTTGTGTGAGCCATTTCGATCATGGCTGATGGGCCAGGCTTGTGGGGCGTGCCGCGCAGCTTGTGGTCCAGCATCTCCAAGACATGGCAGTTGAAGATCGTGAACAGTTCTTGGCAGCCCATGAGGCATTGGTGTCCCAGGGGAAGGACTTCTTGATGGAGCTGCCCTCGTTGAGCAAGGTACCTGCACTGCATGTCAGCCCTTTCTGTGTACCTTTGAGCTATCCTGGTCAATGGGTTGTACATGCTCATCGTGCTGCACACAAAGAAATCATACCTCGCAACAACATCCACTGCAGACCCACAATTATTTTGCTGGGGTGGGGATGCCCACCGCACCACCCGTCCCCCTTTTTCTTTGCAATCTTTGGCACCTGCCAGATGCACAAAGTTCAATGGCCTCGTGAACAATTGGCTGCTAATCGAAGCTCTCAGTCTTGATCTGGCATAATAGTGAGATGCGAACTGGTGCACCCCCCCCCCACCCCACCCCACCTACCCACCCAAACACCCACCCTGGTGTTGACATGAATTTGTGTGGCTGTCGCATGCCATTGGCATTAGAGGTGCAACGGCAATGCAGTAGTGTTGTCAATGGTTGAGATGGATGGGGATTGTCAGTGATGGATATTGGTGCTTGTATTACCAGAGCTCACCACCACCACCACCACCTGAGGCTGCCCCAGAGCCGCCACAAGAAGAGACAACCAACATTGCCACACCAGCTCAAGACGAAGGCACTTCATATTCTATGGATGGGGCTGCAGCATCTGTGAGTGTCCATGATGACGAGATCACTTTCAAATTCAACGCTGTTCCTGGACAGCAGCCCAGCTTAAGGACAAGCAGGTTGCGAGCTGGAATGTTCTCAGGCGGCTCACTGGGGCGGCGCGTCAGTCCGTATGTGCTATCAGCCACCCCCATCCAGCGAACCGTGTCGGGGCAAGAATCTTCGTCAGCAGGCCAAGGCAATGGGGAAGAGGAGGAATATGAGGGGAAGGGGAAAGAGGAAGAAGAGAAGGAAGAGGGCAAGGACGCTGAAGCAGCCCCCACGGCAACCCCCTCAAACGTTGATGCTGGTGCAGACAACAAACAGGCTGAGGGCCCTGCATATGTGAGTCATGGACACACACAATTTTGGATTGGCCTGAGCCAGGGGAAGGATGTTGTGTCCATACCTTGGTATATGCAACCCTTTCACATCGTAATGTAAAGGTTGAGTCTTCAGTGGTGCAATAGTAAAAAACGTAGAAGTGCCAAATGAATGCAGCACGAAAGGAACGGAATGGCTGACTTGAAGTGGAGCTGGGTTTGCTGCAACCCGCAATTCGATTGAGTGGTTGAGCTGCACCCAAAAGCATCTGGAAATCGCCCTTGTCGTGGCCAGAAGGGCGACAGCAGCAACGCGAGGGCCTCTGCACTGCTTGTGGCCTATGGGAGCCCAGATGCATAAGTCGCTGAGCCAGAAAGCTGGCATTTCAGGCCATACCAACTGGGCGGAGTCACGATTCCGGCGGTGCTCGCGATGCAGAGTGCAACCAAAAGAAAAATGCATGTGAAAATGTGGAACAAAATCGCAACACCGAAATTGCAAAATGTGCAAGGGTTGGAAATACCACAATGTATGCGAAATAAATGTAGAAATGAATATTGCACATCGATATCAGCTGTTTTGGTTTGTTTGCTGGCATGTTAGAACAGCGTTGAATATACTACACTGTATGCCAAATAGATGTAGAGGTGATCATTGCGCATCGATATCAGCTGTTTTGGGTTGTTTGCTGGCTTGTCAAAACATCTCTTGTGAATCTCCTCATGTGATGGAAATCGATTGCAACTTGTCCGGGACAAGCTTGATGCTGTAGTCTCAGATTTTTGCAGAATTTATGAAGGAGCAAGGGCTGAAGATCGTGTTGCGGAGCTGATTTTGCTGGGCATTATGTACATTCACGGGAGTGTTTTTTTTTTTTTTTTCCCTGTTGGTGGGACACTGTATTTTGCACTGCCCCACAGGCCTTGTGGGAACGATCTTCAATATGCATGCTTTGAGTGACACGATCGTGGGCTTTGTTATGGTCAGGAGCTGTTTTGACAGCTTTTGCTGTTAAATAGGACAGGGTACAGGCCAAGGGTGATGAGAAATCACTGATGGCTATTGGTTTGGCGACCTAAAAGTGCTCGCAAACAAGCAAACAAGCCATTAAACTGTGCTGCAGCAGGTTTGCATATTGATCCGTGTTTACCATGTGGGCAGCCCACAGTAAAAATTCTTGATTTGGTTATTAGGGTGGAGGCCCATCGAGCCTGCAGCTTGCAGCGCAAAGGGAGGTGGACAAGCACAACGGCAGTGTTCTGGCCAGTACTCGGTCGCACTGGCTCTACTTTACTGTGCCTGAGGTGCCTGTGGCTGGAGCAGACGTTGTGGTGTATTTCAACAAGAACGTCAGTGAGCCCTTGAGGTAGTGTTGTCTGTCAGCCCTGATTTGCTGCTACTGTCAAGAGTGTTTTGGTCTCGAGCTGTGAAAGCCACTGTAGTTGCAGACCTTGAGCATTACCTAAACACTGCAATGGTGTTGAGTATATTGTGAGGGAAGGAAGCATGATCCCCGATGTTCCACCTCTGGTGTTGTACAATAATGGACATGGGTGCGCCTTGTGGAGCAGTTTGTCCAGTCCAGCCAAATGTGTTGTAGCTGAGGTGTGGCTGCTGATCAGATTTTGAGCAAACCAGTTACATCAATCGGTTGTTTGCTCTTGTCCAACAGTGGCGGAGCAGTGCCCTTGAACCTTGAAGGCTGTGATGGCCACTGCTCACAGTGTTGCATATATGCGCTGTTAATTTCCCTACATAATGATATCTGTTCGCTGAAAGAGCATGTGTGTTTCTAGATATTCCCACAATGTCCAGCTGCGCCTGGCTTTCAATGAGTGGGAATTGGAGGCCGGGTCCTCCTTGTCCGACATGACACCCACCACCATCCCTCACGACGATGGCTCTGATTGGTGGTCATGCCAGTTCACTACGCCGACTGAAGCCTACGAGATGAACTTTGTCTTCGGCGATGGTGTGGGTACATATGACAACAACTGTGGGGATAATTTCATGTGCCAAGTCGCTGGGGGCATGTCGCAAATGGAATGGCTGGATGGTGCGCCAGCCAGGGCCGCAGCAGCGGAGGCTGTAAGGAAGGCAGCTGAGGAGGCGGCTGTGGCTGAGGCGGAGAAGCAGCGCCAGGCTGACTTGGCAAGGCAGGACCTCGAGAGGGCTCAGTGGAGGATTGGTGAAGTGATGGCAAAGGTGCAGGGGCTGCAGGCTGGGGCGGTGTCCCGTTGCGAGACTGGACGGGGCACTGGCAGCCGCACTCTGTGGTTGACCAAGCCAGAGCCACTGGTCAGGGGCTCCCCAGGAAGGCTATTGTACAACAGCAGGGCCGGGGCGCTGTCATCCATTGTGTTCCCAGAAGGGCAGTGTCCCACGCTGTCGATCGGATGCAATGGATGGAACAATCCGCAGGACATCCTTATGACAAGAGCTACGGATGTGGTGAGCTGCCGATTGAATTGCAGTTGCCAAAACTTGACGAACAGTGCCAAGCTGGCAGTGTTGGGGGTGCTCTTCACTGGCACAGGTTTTGGTCCCCAACCAGCTGCTCCTTCGACTTTCCCAGATATATGTTGTGACCCTCCAGCCCTTGCAGGGGTGAAGAGCATGCTGCTTGGGTCTGTCAGATCGGACTTGACCGTTTCATCCCAGTTGGTGTTGGTGTTAGATCCCAATATACATGTCAGCAAGGTGTCGCCCTTGTTATCACCAAGGGGTAGCTAAGCATAACGATCTGGCTGTGCTGTGGGTGCTGACAGGTGGTACGCCCTGACGAGGAATGGTGGGAAGCCACGTTTGATGTCCCCCTTGAAGCAGTGGAATTTACATTTGTTGTGAAGTATTATGATATCTTTGACAACAACAATGGTGCCGATCATAAGGTGAGCTCCAGATGTAAGCTTTGCCTTCAAATGGTGGCCGATGGTCCTCTGCCTTGCATCTATTCAATATCCGATCTCGGGTGTGCCAAGCCAGTTGCATCCTAGATTTTCTTGACAGAAGTTTAGGAAATGGTCTATCCTGTTTTGTTGAAAGGGGCATCTGGAATGCAATGGCTGTGCAGCTCTCATACAATTGTTCAACACGAGTTTGATGCCATGGGCAACGTGATGTATCTGGTCCCAGTGGCAGGGACAGCCAACTTCTGAGAAAATCAAGCCAGCATCTCTTTGTCATCTCCTCCCTCCTACAGGACATCGCGAACTTGCACAGTGACAGCTCGCATCTTCTGATCTTCTGTTGTCATTTCTTGCAAACTTTTAATCTGCTATTGCCCTGATCATCCCATGGGAGGGCACAAAATTTTTTGGTTCCAAAATACTGAACACATCACATTTCAGCGTCCCCGTCCTACTACCAGATATGTGGGCCTTGTGCCATCGGTTAATAGCACACAAGGGCGATGTAATGCCCCCAAATTGTTCGAGTCTAGAAGAATGTTCGGTCTCAAGAAAGAGAAGAGACGTTCAACACTCCGGGGGAGTTCTGGCAGACCAGCAATGGGAGTAAATCGCATTTGTCTATGTTTATTCTAATGAACCGAGATGAGAACACAGCCTGACATTGTCATTGGTCACTAACACAACACCAAAATCCTGTGTCGTCTGTTTCGCTTCCTGATATGCATCACTACAGCAGCAAAAGAACGAAGTTCTCATTTTGGGACTGGTACTGCCCAGCTGTTGGTGCCCGTTTCTGGAGGATTCAAGGCCTGGGAAGCCCACACAACTGAGTTGTTGAGACAGCAGGAGTTTGCGAACCGAATTGAGCAAGAACGGATACACAATTTGAGGGAGGCAAAGCGGCAAGAGATTCGGCAGAAGGGTAGGGACAAGGCCCGTGCTGTTGCACGGCGGCAGATCAAGCATGTCATGTTTACGCAACCATCCGTTGTGAAGGCAGGCGAGGAAGTCACTGTCTACTACTCGCCCAACGACACCCCCCTTAATGGGTGCCAAGATATCTATTTGCTTGGCGGGTGGAATAGATGGACGCACAGGAAAAACTACGGTCCCCTAAAAATGATGGCACCAAAGGAAGGAAACCATTGGAGGGTAAGTTGAAGTGTCACAAAAGCGCACCACGCCTGTGGGATGGATGAAGTGGTATTTTCCAGTGGGGCTTAGTTGTCATTTGCTGGCCAACATTCATGTCAGGTCATGTCACGATCCTGGGCATTTGGACACCCCTTTGTACAAATTGCAGTGCACCATGATGTACGAGCTTTTCATTCATTGCATGTTAACAGTGAATGTCGACAAGGACGACTGTTATGCAGCCTTGTTTGGCAAGGCGAGCTGGTTTACAATGAAATGGTGTGCACCAAACCAAGTACGGTCAACAACAGGTGTATCCAGTGGCATATCCATAGCAAATGGCCAACTGTTACCAGCATTGATCATCCGTGTTGAATCCTTTTCCCAGGACTGTGACAACAGCCTGCCCTGTTGCCTACTATGCGATGATGTGTATCTGCAATTTGCAAAGTCGCTTCATCTGTTCAAAATCTGCCTTGTTGCTGCTGTCTACAGGCATCTGTGACGCCCCCCCGAGACGCCTACATGATGGATTTCGTGTTTGCAAATGTTTCTGGTGGTGATGGGATATATGACAATCGAGGTGGCCTTGACTACCACCTGCCCATTGAGGGCTCGGTGGCCACTGAGCCACCCCTGAATATTGTCCACATCTCTGTTGAAATGGCTCCCATTGCCAAGGTTGGCGGCCTTGCTGATGTTGTTACCTCCCTGGGCCGGGCAGTCAAGGAACAAGGGCACCTGGTGGAGATCATTCTACCAAGGTATGGGTTTGGACACTGCTGATGGTGATTGCAATAGAATTGCTCATTGACTATGTCAGTGCACTTCCATAAAAGGTTGTCAAACAGCTCCTTCGAAATTGACTGGTAGCTCACCCAACACCAAGCTGAGCAACTTGTTGTCTCTGTTTCCTTCACTGACCAGACCTTCCAAGGCTTGTTCCCCAAGTCTTGCCTTCTATCTGCTCACTCGCAGATGCTCTGCATAGACTTGGCTGTATTGCTCCAATACATGATAGCCAGTTCTTGAACCTGGACTCATACCATTACAGTCAGTTGCTGTATGGTGTGTAACTTTGGAGGGCACCAATTGACTGTTTGCTGTGGTTGTGAAGGTATCGGGATCCAGTACGTTGATTTGTTGCCATGTGTGTGTGATGGCAGTGGTGCTTTTTTGTCCCACAGCTTGCCTGTCATCATCTGCATGTTGTTATCCTCCGATCGTCTGGTGCACAATATGCTGACAGCCTGGGATAGTGGCGACCAGTGTTGCCTGTGTGTTGCACCTTTCAGTGCATCTGAGGTCCTGTGTGTGGCACTTGTGGCGTTCACTTGCTTTTTTGTGCCGTGAAAGTACATCCCAGCTGGTCATAAACAGTAAAAATTGAACTAAATGTACATAATTGCACAAGAACTGCAAGCTGATGAGCTTCAGCTTAATGGCAACTTGCTCCAACTCTCCCTGACTGCACTGTAAGGGTTATTGTCAGCATCACAGGCAGGTGGGCTTCAGCAAGGGAATGGCAGACCTTCCTCTCTCTACTGCCCTCAGCTGTGCAGGCACACTGATTTGCATTGTGCATACATCCCTGTTAATGGCAGGTATGACTTCTTCCTGCAGTCCCCGATGCTGAACCAGATGCAGTATGAGACTGAGTTTGATTGGGGGGGCACGCATATCTATGTCAGCACCCAGATCGTGGAGGGCCTACGTGTCTTTTTCATAGAACCCATGAACGGCTTCTTCAGCATACCCACAGTGTATGGAAGAATAGATGATGGCCAGAGGTTCAATTTCTTCTGCAAGGTGCGTTTGTCCTGGGGCGAGTGTGGCATTCAAACTGCACTATTCATACCTGTCCATATGTCGGCCCACACATGCTTGTTGCTTATTCATTCTTGTGTGCTTGGTCAACTTGGTTGCTTGTGATACAGCGAATTGCAGCTTTCAGGTGGAAATTGTTCTCAAAGCAAATTGGCAGAATGTGAGACCAATCGTATGACCTGGATCCTAACCTACTCCCACTGACTGCACTGGGTCGATATTGCTCCTGCCTGTCATTTTTGCCCTTGAGTGCTGGCTGGCACAGCCCTGCATGTGGGCATGTCCACATAGCAGGTCCACTACTTGCATGATTCTGTGCCTGTTGGACTGTGTTGGCCTGTGCAAACATAGCTGAGGTCAGGGAGTTGGAAGCCTGCGTTGAAATTACATATCCTGCTCGAAGCAGGTTTACCATCACACTCACCCTTGTGATTGGTCCCCGTGGTCCACCTCACTTGGCAATTGATTGGTTCATCCATTGCTGGACTGATTCAAACTACACATTATTGTGCATTAGACATGCTGAAGCTCGGGCTGATGCTGACTGATAATTTTGCAGTGTCAAGCTGTTTTGACCTTTTTAGTCCCTAAGCTTGGAAATAGAGAGAGTACTGTAAAATACTAAACCCTTCCGCATAGTAATGTAACGCTTGGTCTTTTTTGGTGGAGATAATAATATAAATGGTCACGCAAATCTTGGCCTTTCTGTGCGGAGCAATGTAAAAAGGATAGAAATAACACTCTGAAAAACAAAGTGTGGAGCAAAAAGCATAGCAGTCAAATTTTCTGATGCGGAGGGGTTGAATATTTACAGTATATGCCCAGTGCATGCCACAGCAACAGTTGTGGGTATACTGCATGGAGCACTTGACCTGGGCAGTTTTGTTGCTTGGGACAAATGTTCCCACACTGCACATTGATTATAGCTTGCCCCCTTTGCTTGCAGGCAGCCATGGAGTTTCTGCTACAAACTGGAAGGCAACCTGACATTCTCCACTGCCACGATTGGTCGACTGCCTCTGTGGCCCGGTCTTACTGGGAGGACTACCACTATTTTGGACTGTGGAAGCCCCGTGTTGTGTTCACCATCCACAATCTGAACTATGGGGAAATTCAAATTGGCGAGGCTGCACACTATGCTCAACGGTTCACAACTGTGTCACCGTCATATGCATTTGAAGTTGGCGGTCACCCAGCCATTGCTCCCAACGTTGGCAAGTTCATGGGGATTAGGTGAGAATTGAAATCACAGAGGTGCACTGTGGCGCGCTTGCGCCCCACCACTGATTGCAAGGGTGCTGCTGGTATGAAACTCTGTAGTGTTTCAGCTCTTGAATGTGTGCAGCATGCGCTGGTACACAGTGGTGCAAATAGGCATCACCAGGAGGGTTTTGCTTTGCATTGTGCAATGGAGTTAACTGTTGTTGGAGTTCCTACAGGGATTATGAGCTACAACACCTCGAAATTTGTTATTTGAGGGATATGACAAATGCAGCCGATCGCCATACAAACATGTGCTACTAATGCCAAAGCACTGCGCTAGTTGCACACTTATTAAGAATAGTGCTTCAGCCCAGTTGTCAGTTCCACTGCTCACTTCCCCCTGTGGACAGTTGTCAGACAACATCAGGCTGATGTTTGGGTGCCCTGCGTGCGCAACAGGAATGGAATCGACACCGAACTCTGGGATCCTGAGAATGACCAGTTCCTTCCCCGCGGTTATGATGCCGATTCCGTTGTGGAGGGCAAGAAGGCCGCGAGAGAGGCGCTGTCACAGCGTTTAGGGCTGGCAGGCTGGCGGGACGCACCCATGATCGGCGTCGTGTCTCGCCTAACAGCACAGAAGGGCATTCACCTCATCAAGCATGTCGCTTGGCGCACGCTGGACAGGGGTGGGATATTCGTCTTGTTGGGATCGGCACCGGACCCCAAGATACAAGCAGAATTTAATGCCCTTGGAGGCCAGTTGTCTGGAGAGAACGCGAGTTTCTACTTTGCGTATGATGAGCCCCTCTCTCACCTTGTGTATGCAGCCTGTGACATCATTGTTGTGCCATCCATGTTCGAGCCGTGTGGCTTGTCTCAAATGATTGCCATGAGATATGGTGCGATTCCTTGTGTGAGGAAGACCGGGGGGTTGCACGACACTGTTTTCGACGTCGATTATGACAAAGAGCGAGCTGCTTGGGACGTGGAAGGATCATCTGACTGGCAAAGGGATGGTATCGAGGCCACAAACGGTTACTCATTTGAGGTATGACTGCATGATCTCAGAATTATTCTTGCTGAGCCCTGTTTGGACGCAGCTCAGTGATGAGAGTCGTGTGCAGTCAGCTTTCCTAATTGTACTCTTGACAGATGGCCACAGGTGAACATCCAGCAGTGCTGTGCAAGTACCATATGGTACCATTTGCTGTTGGAATTGTCACAGCAGCTGCGATCTAGTTGTTGTGGTCTGTGCACATGGAGTCTTTATGGTTTGACCCTCATTGTGCGTTCTGTTGCATTGCATCACATAGCAGTGTGGGTGCAGGTGCTGATGCTGTGCAGTCCAATCTTGGCCCCAAGTAAGCCGCTTGCCAACAGAACTGTTTCTAGAGCTCTGGTCATGGTGATAGGGAATTAATATCACTGTGCGATGCTGTGCAATTGAGCAGCGCTGAACATCGGGGGATACTCAAATGCACGTTGCTTGTCACATATTCGCAACTGTGGTCAAACGTGGTGCGAAACAAATTGAGGTGATCTGGAGGCTGCCAGTGGCTTTGTCCTTCTGGTGGTATGACTGTGCGACTTCTGTGGTGAGCGCCACCGACAGTGGCAGAGCGGACACACAGGTGGCTTGAAGTGCCTTTTGCTCGATACCTTGTGTGCTGGCAGCGGTTGTAGTTTGCAAAAACAGCCCGTACAATGCAGCACCCCGTTCCAGCAACAGGCGTTTAAACATTTTGGGTTTTTTGTGCTATTTTGGAGGGGGTTCGGACCTTTGCAGGGCAGTTTTGGGGTCTTGTGTGCTGCGGTGTGAAAGCCGCTGATGGCATGAATGAAGCCAAGAGTGGCAATGTGTGTGGCTGTGGTGCCAGGGCACTGATCCGGGAGCCCTGGATTCAGCGCTGCAGCGTGTCATCGACGCGTACTACATGGACAAGGGGTTCTTTCACGGCCTGCAGAAGCGCGTGATGCTGCAGGACTGGAGCTGGAACCGGCCGGCCCTAGACTACATCGAGCTATACTACTCGGCAATGAAGAGCTGAGGGAGGGGGCGTGTCACAGATATGTCACAGGAGCAGATATTGCCCGGGTTTGTCGCAACCAGGCAATGGCGTCGGGATGCCTGCCGTGAACGGCTGACCGGCGTTGTTTGGGGCGCAGTGGATTTTTTCTGTTTCGTTCGTTCTGTGTTGATCTGTTAGGGCCCTTGGAAGACCTGTCGAGAAGACAACTGGTGTGCCGACCGGCCACCTGAAAGGCGTGCGCCATGGGGAAATCATGTTGAAACGTATTTCTTGTAAAAGGCATAATTGTTCTGATGCTGGGCGGGCGCTGGCAATGGTATTTTAGCAATACTTTGCTGAAGTGCGGAAATGAATTTAGTTGCCGGCTACCCGTGTGGTCAGATATTGCTACAAGATTGATGCCCCGAGCCTGGTGAATTGGCCGATCCAAACAACAAGAACAATGACTGCATGTGCAGCATTGCAACAGTACCGCTTGCGCACTGTGATGGTGACGATGGGAACATGCCACTGTACGATTTCTCGAACGTCTCTTGCCCCATATTTTACAGCTCCAACACACATCAGACTTCATTCCTTCGGCACACCGCTGGCTTCCATTTCCCGCTCACACGTGGATAAGCTCCAATCGCGTCCATCTGCCTACGAAACGAACACTGGCAAAACTATGCCACAACCAAAGCCCACGGCCTCCTACCCCCCTTCACCCCTCCCCCCCCACACCTCCAAAAAAGGAGGAAAAAATCACAACAACCTGGCTGACGACGTCATGAGTCCAATGCCCAGCGCTGCGCAGAACAGCACGTGAACCAACCCCGCCAAGGCCAGAAGACCATTCCACTCCCTGGATGGCGTTGTGCTCACAACACGCCACAGCAGGACAAGTGCCACGGGCAGCGTTGCCAGCGGCCCCGCCCACGCCCACGTCGCTCCCACCGCTGCCCATCGCCACCCTAGGCCGTATGCCAAAGCCGTTTCTGCCACAACCTGCGCCTTGCCCACTCCGACGCCGAACCGCACGGGCACAGTCATCTTGCCCGCCAGGACGTCCGTCTTGGCATCCCTCAGGTTGTTCACAGCCAGCATGTTGACGGCCATCAAACCCACCTGTGGGTGCAATCCGCTTTGAGAAAACTTCTGGAAGAGTGCACCACTGCGCTTGAGCACCAAAACAGTGGCGCAGTCGCCTCATTATCCGTTTGTGGTACTCGCAAGAATACCTTGCCTAAGGAAATTTATGCCTACTGCTAATTGCCTAAGCAAGGATATTGGCTGAGGGCCGCAATTACTGCGTTTGTTTCAGAATGTTTCTCAAAAGTTATTGCTCAAAGCGTTGCTCTTACTAAACCTAAAATGTATTCTTTTCTCATATGGGCGAAAGAGAGAGCAGAAAGCTACCACCCTGCCTCGGTTCAACCTAATCCTGATTCCTTGATTTAATATCGTCGTTTTGACAGAAGGGAGTACGTGCCACACAATAGGTATCCCCACTCTGGGCAAGAAGTTCACAAGACAGTTTGTCCGTTTACAAAATGCCATACCGACTTCCCCAGGTGCACCATCAATGACGCTCGCGAGCAAGGTGCAAGGGCGCTGTTTTTCATGGCGCTTGGACACATGATTTCATGAAATTGCAGCACGAATGATGCGGGACACAGCAGTGCATAGAGCACTGCAACATGCTTTCAGAGTGGTTCGCACGAGCAGAGGGGTGAGCAAATCCGCTGAAGGAATGCAGTCGATTCAATGTCACCTCACCTGTGCTCCTGCGGTCACGGCGTCAGGGCCCCACAGGTTTCCCTCTTGGTGCACCTGCTTGACAAAGCATGACCAACTCAGCTCTACCTTTCTCTTAGATCGCCGTTGCGCTGGATGCCAAGGGCTCAACTATAGAGTCGCGAAGATAAAGAGCAGAAACGCATGCAATACAATATATGCAATAAGCGATGCAAAAGCGTGTGTTCAATGCAGAAATGCCCGGAGCGCCTACAGGGCGGAAGTGTGTTGTTTTGCCCTGCGCAAAGGCAAGAGTCATCCAACATTTTGTAGCTGCTCAGCACCGCCTGATCTCGAGCCAGGTACGGCACAAAGAGATCACAAACGATGCAAGAACGATGCATTGAATCTGGCCTTCAACGCACGATTGATATGCCCCAGGATCGTTGCAACCGACCGGAAGATTGCATTTTCTGGAAATGCCAACTGCCTCATCAAGCTATGATGCATATCATCAATCCATCGACCATACCAGTCAGAATAGCAAGCCCCCTCCATTGGCCATACTCGGTACAATGGTCCTACTTTAACTTGGGTAACAGATTCAATCCCAAGAATCGATCGTAGAAAAATTCTGGAGTGCAAGAAAAGGTGTATATATCAAGGGTTACATAGACAAGCATGTAGCCCCAGTTTCTTTTCGCTCACCTGCTTGGCGCCACATGTAGCAACGATGCCAAAGAACAAAAACACTGCCAAGTCACCCAGGCCAAGGTACGCCAGTGGCAACGGCCCTCCAGTGTAGGCGTAGCCCATTACACAGCAGGACAACACCAGGATGACCAACCGTGGGCCTCTTGCAACAAGGACAGGAATACAAAAATTATTGGAGAACACGGTTTGTGCTTGTTTGCAGTGCTCAACGTGGCCTCATGGGTGGCAGAACAGTGTTTCCCACGTTCATACTGAATGCAATCAATCAAAGATCGGAAAGATAGCTGTAGAACACGCTCTGTATTGAGAACAGCACTCAGTGTCACCTGATAGGTGAAAATCTGTGCTGTAGTGGCGAAGAATGCCATCAACAAGAATCTGCCTTGCGATTGTTCGAAGCACGTGCTAAACAAAACACAACTGGTGCCTGCAAAAGCCCCCGGCTCCTGAAGGGTGAACTGGCAGTATTTTTCCGCAGCTCGAAGACGGGATTCAAATTTCGCAATATTGACAGATGAGAATAATGGGCATGTACCTTGCGATGAAGGCAGGAAGACAGAAGAGGAGGGAGGCAAGGAGGCAGGCGACGCCAGCAGCATGCACAGCAGTGGGGGACACAACGCCAGATTGGGTCAGGCGCCGTGGGCCCACCCGCTCCTTGGTGTCTGCACCACGCTGGAAGTCGAGGGCATCGTTTACCAGGTTGGTGCCCACCTGGGGAGAGGTCACATGCCAAATCTGTCTTGACAATTTACAACTTTCAGATTGTGAACTGTGAATTCGTGTGAACTCGATTGTGAACTGTGAATTCGCGAATTCCAATTTTTGTCCAATTAAATTCGCAGCGTTCGCATTGCGAATAATGCATTCCTGTTCAATGGAGTGGTGAGCACTGGCCCAACAAAGGTGGTTAAGATGACATGATTTAGTCTTGTCTGATACACTGCACATTGGTGATGCACGATTTGGGCAACTTTCTGGTCCTCCAAAGACTTCAGGCCGCTTGAATCGGCACTGATCACAGTCACATCATAGCACGACAAATGACAACCCTTCGACGTGTTTGGTGATGTCAGGAATGGTCAGATCACCAATTCGCAGATCACACCACTTTCAGGCAAGTAGCCAACCAGACCTGATGGGCACCATTCCCTACCTCTCTTTTGATCGGGCTGTACAGGGAGATTCTACATCATCCCTTCTCAGCATTGAAAAGAGCCTTGCATACACTTGCCCAGAAGTAGGTGCCCTTTGCTTGACTCGTTCTTCTCTCGGGGTGTAACAAATCCTACCTCTATCCCCCTTCCCCAAGTGCAACAGTCAGTTATTGTATGACACACTTTCCTGGCTTTGTAACAAATCTCACCCTCAGTACATCAGTCATCTCGCCCAACAGGACAGGCCCCCCCCCCCTCCCCCAGCACGTGGGCACGGCAAGGCGAAAACCAAGCCACCGCTTTCGCACCTGTATGAGCAGTGCCGCGGGCCCGCAGCACAAAAATGGCCCCCAAGACGTCTCCCCGCCCCCCGCCATGGCCAGTCCCGATGCCACCATCGCCGGCCCCAGGCAAGCCCCCAGAGTCTTCACCCTGGCGGCCTGCAGCCAATCCAGCAGCGACATCTCCGCGATCCCTGCCGATCCACCCTATGGGCGATTCGCCCTCCCAGGGGGTAAGATTTGTTACAGAGCGATAGAGGAACGCCCCGCTAGGTGACGGTAATCCTTGGATTGAATTTCGTGTGGCCGTCGATTCTGCGGTCTTTGATTCCAGAGAATCGGTTGTGTTGGCGCCAGGGATTGGCGTGGTGGGCAGAGGAAGGGCCGCTGGTGGAGGTGGCCGGCCGCGGTGGCCGAGTGTTGGTGGCTCAGTGGGTGGGTGCTTGGCAAGCCAGGGGCTTTGGCATCAATGCAACAATGAAGGCAGCCTGAAATGGCCAAGTCGACGTGACTTCCAGACGTATGGAAGTGAGCGAATGGACGTTTCCGTTGTCACACCCGGCAGTGATCGAGTATTACTGACAGCTGGACGCATAAAGAGGTGATCAGACGATAGAAACTGAATTGAGGACACTGATGAACAGAACTGCATACAAGGGACTGTTCGAGTTACTGCAAAATGTGTTGTAGTGAACAACTATATTTGCCTTAATGGTACTTGTATTGGAACATTCACGACCAATGATCTCACTGAATGGGATGGCCCGAGTATGCCACCATTTCAGTCATTGAAACGCATTTTCCGACAGTGTTATAAAGGGGAATATAGACCCCAGTGCGGATACACAATAGGTGTGGGAAAGTGTTGCAAAATCTGTAAATATTACAGGGGAATGAGGTTGCATTGACGGAAGTCAGACAGATGGGCGTCATGTAGTCAGAACGCTGGAAAGATGATAGACACATCCTCCCGTATAGAGGTTTGCACGTAGAGTACTGCAGTATCCGGGAACTCCATGCAAGGGTAGTCAGTGGGATCTCGCCCGACATATGGGATGCGGCAACGAAGAACGCAGCGAAAACGGTGTGCGGAGGCGTTTTGCTTACACGCCCAATTGCAAAAGGAAGCGAAACATCATGGCAAGGGTCTCGCAACCCCTTGCCGTATGGTGCCGCGAGCTGTAGTGGGAGCTCCCACAGGCGGGCTGTTGTGTGACCGAATGGCGTGTTGGAAGGCCGCTCGATGGGCATCCCGAGTGGAGGGTGGAATGCTCCATTAGGTAGTACAAGACCACTATTGACTGCGCGATTGTTTTCCCTCCACTGACTAAGTACGTCGAGACCCATTTGAATATTCATGAACGGGATTGGGAGGTGCAAGACAGGCGTTGTAATGCACACCGCCTTTAAAATATATACTATTATCACTCAACCAATGTGTTACCAAGAGGGTGCCTGGATTGGCAAGGGTATTCCTAAACAACCCCATCCTTGGGAACATCATGCAAGCCACAGGACTAGAATACTTAATATTGTAACAATACTATCCAATAGTGGATGAGCTATTATAATTATTAATTAAAGATCAGAGTGACCCACCGGTCGCCAACCAGTGTACAGCGAGAGCTGGGTGCAATACTTAAAGGGTCTGGGAGACTAGTGTGGGGTTTCTTTTCCCCTCTTGGCACCACTGCATACTACAAGCGTAAAGGTAGAGTTTACGTGGAGGTTCGAATAGAGCAGACTATGGTGGAGCCACTCAAGGAGGCGCTCCGAGCGGAGATATGCGGAAGGTCGGTGAGAGCCACAGAGCATCATAAGGAAAGGCACCAAACAAAAAGAAGCCACCATTGGTGTGTGGGCCTAAACGCCATGGGATTGCTGGCGCCCCCGGATTGCTCCATCGCCGGTGGCTCACAGATGTATGTCCTGGACACCTTTGCCTCGTGGGAGGCTATGTAATTGGGGCGGAGCGCTCATTCATGTTTGGTTATCATGGCCCCACGGTGTGGTGTGATATGAAACACAGGGGGTAGCCTATTTCCTTGATTATGAGTATTTGGTAGGTTGTAGGATTCCCAAGATAACGGCAGCCAAATGAGGCAAATGGCGGAGCTTTGATCAATATTGACCGATATTAGTGTATCACAATTTGGTGGGCCCCTCGGTCAAGACAATGGCAATGGCGACTAGCAAACTTAGACAATGGCCTGTAGGGTGCCCATTTTTATAGGTGGCATGCTCACCCTCTCATTATGCCACACTTGACCTCTTGTAATATCTGTTGGCGCGGTCCCCCCTTGGCCGCGTCCAGGTACCCTGTGTTGCGTCCCTGAAGGGCGCCGCTGGTTTCCGAAGCTCGTGGGGTCGCCACGCCCTGCGGCTCGGCTGTTGGAGGTCAGCCGGCCCTCTCCACCGAATTTGGTGGGCGGTAGCGGGACGTTCGTTCCCTCGGATGCGCGGTGGGCCCAGAACGATGGGGATCGTCCCCCGGGGCCTGCTGTATGCGGCGGGTGGTGGCGCAGCCAGTCGGTGGCTCGCTGGTCGCGGAGAGACCAAGCAGTGGGCCAGAACGGTTACACGAATTCCCTGCATGTGCACGCACAAATCCGCATGCGCGATGCCCAATCTCGGGTCCATCGCTGTCACATCAAGACAAGGCAACACAAGTGCGCATCTAGGCACATCGTCACCGTCCACCGTTCACCTAAATCAGCCCCGCATAATCCCCGATGCTTCTATCTACCGGTCCGAATCCCATGCTAAAGTACTGCAACTTCAAACGGCCATAACTTTGCCGTTTCTACACGGAATTGGACGTTTCAAGGCGCTATTGGCATCAAGAGCTCCTAAATAAGCTGATTTTAACATATTTGCACTTTTTTGACCAGCCGCCGCTTCAGAATTGTCAATTTTAACCTAACCCCAAGTAACCACGTCACATTACTCCCCCCTTGGGGTAGCTTTCGCCCCCAAAAGCACACTATCCCATACTAGTGTCTTCCTCGGGCTTGTCCCTCTTGATCATTTTCTGAAGTTCACGTGCATAGGTGAAATTTCCAGCAGGTATCCAGGAGGCATCATCAATACTCCACTCTATCCATAACACTAAAAACTCCTTATGCCTCCTGCCACTGGGTCCTGCCCATCTCCATCGCAGCAGCTTCTCAACTTCATACGGTTCATCAGCCTCTAGCTCGATCTCGGCGTCATCTGACTCCTGTGGGGATGACCATCTGGATGATCTGAATGGTCTAAGCAAACTGGTGTGAAAGACGTTGTGAATCCTCCACCCCGCTGGTAGCTTCAATTCGTAGGCCACTGATCCCACCTGACGGACCACAGCAAATGGTCCTACGAACTATCACTTCAATTTGCGAACAGGTGCATTCTTCAACTGTAGATGCTCTGTACTGAGTAGCACCTATTCCCCACTGTGAAACCTCTGCTCTTTACGCCGCTGATCGGCCTGACGCTTCTGTCTCTGTTGAGCCTGATGAACTGACTGCATCGCCCTTCTGAATGTTTTCTTCATCCTGCTGACAAAGACGTTGACACCTTCAATGTTGGTCTGGTCTACATCCTTGATCAGATCCAACGGGGTCACTGGCTCAAAGCCATAGTTCAGATGAAAGGGCGTGTACCCCGTGGATGGCGATGCGCTGCTGTTGATCACAAATTCCACCATGGGCAAGTATCTCTCCCAATGGGTGACTTCCTGACTGCCATGGATTGTACACCTGAGGACTTGCTCCACCACCCTATTGGCTGCCTCTGTCTGTCCATCTGTTTGAAGGTGGGGAGCGCTGGACATCCTCAGCTTGCTGCCCAAAATCTTCCAGAATTCCTGCCAAAACTTCGACACAAATCGTGGATCTCGGTCACTGACGATCGATCTGGGGATCCTGTGAAGTCGTCTAATCTGCTCCCAGTAGACTCGAGCTGTCTCAGCAGCAGTGATGGTCTGCTGAACGGGTACTAAGTGTACCATTTTGGTAGCTCGGTCTACATCCGTGAGGATCCCATCGTTTTTCTTCTCACTGACCGGTAGTCCCATGATGAAGTCGAGGCTGACATCACTCCATTTTTCCTCTGGAAGTTGCAATAGCTGAAGGAGTCCTGCTGGCAACTTGTGGACACTCTTCTCTGACTGGCAGACCTCACATCCCAGCACAAAGTCTTGTATATCCACGGTGTGATCTGGCCAGTAGAAATTCTGTTGTAATTTCTTGAGTGTCTTGTGGTAACCAAGATGTCCCGCATATGGTACTGTATGTATCTCTGCCATAATTTTCTTCCGGGTGTCCTCCACATCTGGTACCACCAATCTCCAAGGTTGCCTGTCCTCGGTGCTGTCCTTCAACTTGATCTCAATAAATCCATGGTTCAATCGGTAGTCACGATTCCCGATCTTGGTGACTCGTCCTTGGGCAGATTCCAACTGATTCAAAACTTCTGCCCATCTGCTGTCTTGCTTGTAGCCCTCTTTTATAGAGTTCCTCAAGTCTTCCTCCAGAGTAATCCTGGTGCTGGTCACCAATAAAGAATGTAAAGAATTTTGTTCCCCACTTGCAACCACCACTGCACCCTTAGGACTGGATTTTTTAAATATTTCGTCCAGTTCCTTTTGAATATCGTTTTCCCCACTGTCACCCTCATGAAGACGAAGACGCTGGACCAATGACTCCTCTTCTGCGTGCACATCTGCCATGCATCTCAACTCCTGAATACTCCTGCGCATCAGAAAATCTGCAGGGTTGTCCTTTCCTGGTATGTGGACAATGTCGCAATCGTAGCCCTGCAGAACCTGCACCCATTTCCACACCCTCCTGTTCACTGCAGGCTGGTTGGGCAGGTTTTTCAAAGAGTCATGATCTGTCTGGATGACGAAGTGGCGGCTGGCCAAATAGTGCCGCCATTTCCCAACAGCCCAAGTGATGCCCAGTAATTCTCGTTCATATGCATTGTACCAGGTCTCGGCCGGGTTGAGCTTTCTACTCTCATAGCAAATGGGTTGCAGCCCGTTGCCAAAGTCCTGCTGTAGTATACCACCCACTGAAACGCCTGATGCATCTGTGGTAACCACAAACTCCCGGTCGAAATCCGGTAACTGTAGAACTGGTGCAGTCACCATGGCTGTCTTCAAGCGATTAAATGATTTTTCTGCTTTATCATTCCAAACG